AAACAATGAACAACCCCCCACCCACGCCCCCGCTCGGCTCATCTCAACAAACGCACATAGTACTGGTTATTTGTTCAATATAAAAAATACAACAAAAACAGACACACATTCAGTTGGGTAAAACATCCAAATTAGTGAAATAAGAAATAAAAGGTTGCCATTTGTGGAAAAATTTGACTGTACATCCTCTCAATGTGAATTTAATTTTCTCGAGTTTCAAAAAAAACATGACATCTTTGAGCCATAAAGAGATAGAAGGGTATCTGGCAGATTTCCAGTTTAACAGTAAGGAACGTCTTGCTAGTAAGGATGTGAAAGCTATAATGTCCTTTTGTGTAGAGTTGAGTGCAATTGAGGGGTTAGGGATACCAAATATAGCAATTAAAGGACAAGGCTGGAGGTTTACCCCAAGAACAGAGGACATAATAGTAAAATAACCTGCCCAGAAACCTTTCAGATCAGGACAAAGAAAGAACATGTGGCTAAGGTGACAAGGAGAGCCATGACATTTATCACATTTGTCTTCCACATCTGGATACAGTTCAGATAATCTTGACTTGGAGAAATGTGCCCTGTGTAAGACCTTAAATTGAATGAGTCCAAGACGAGCACAGGAGGTGGTAGTACGTACCCTCTCTATGGCCTGTTTCCAGGACTCCTCATGTAGTTGTAGTCCCAGTTCCCTTTCCCATGTACACTTAAGTTTAGCATTAGAGTGGTTGCTAAGAGATAAGATAATATCATACAGCTTTGAAATGATTCCTCTATGATGAGGAACAAAAGAAAGCATGGTTTCCCACTGGTGTTCTGGAGGTAGAGAGGGGAAATTAGGGAAACACTTCGCCACAAAATTGCGAGTTTGAAGATAGCGAAACAGGTGAGTAACAGGGAGGTTATAGCGAGATGACAAATTGGTAAAACTATCAAAAACACCCTCTACATATAGATGTCTAAGTTGTGTAATACCCCTGTCATACCACTCTGAAAATGTTGAATCCGAAAGTGATGGAGGAAATAGATGGTTGTTATTTAAAGGACCCAAGGTAGATGCAGCCACAAATTTAAAGTGCCGTCGAAATTGGTACCAGATTTTGAGAGTATTAAGAACCACTTGATTATCGGTATATAAAGAAGGTTTTGTGGGTAAGGAGGAATAAAGTAAAGCAGGTATAGAGGACCCCTTACAAGATAATAGTTCCAATTTACACCAAGAGGATACAGGAGATTTTAACCAGTAGCAAAGTTTATGGATGTGAGCAGCCCAATAGTAAGTTATAAAATTGGGTAATGCAAGACCTCCACTAAGTTTGCATTGCTGCAGTAAAGTTTTACGAACTCTAGGTGGTTTCCCACCCCAGATAAAAGAGCAAATTATCTTATCTAGTGAAACAAAAAAATGTTTTGGCAGAAATAGAGGAACGGACTGGAATAAAAACAAGAATTTTGGTAAAATGTTCATTTTAACAGCATTGATCCTGCCGGCTAGTGAAAGGGGGAGGTTACCCCATCTCTGAATATCGGATGTAATCTTTGAGATAAGGGGAGTGAAATTAGCAGATGCAAGGCTAGACAGCGAACGTGTCACATTAATGCCTAAGTATTTAAACCCTGATGGACTGAATTGAAAAGGTAAATCTGACTGTTGAATATGACAAGCTGCAGTATTAATAGGGAAACACTCACTTTTCGCCAGATTTAATTTATACCCTGAAAAGGTGCTGAAGTTCTCCAAAATACTTAAGACAGCAGGAATAGAATATGTAGGATCGGTTATATATAATAACAAATCATCCGCATACAGCGATAATTTATATTCAATTCCATTACGGGTGATTCCTTTAAATAAGGAGGAGGATCTTAATGTAATAGACAGAGGCTCGATAGCAATGGCAAAGAGCAGAGGCGATAAAGGACAGCCCTGGCGACACCCACGTCCGAGGGCAAAATAATCTGAATAAACATCATTAGTGTGAACACTGGCCTTAGGGGATGAATAAAGGAGGCGGATCCACGAAATGAATTTATCACCAAAACCAAATTTCTTTAAAACCGCAAACAGGTACTCCCACTCTACCCTATCGAATGCCTTTTCAGCATCTAAAGAAATCACGAGTTCAGGAAGTTCAGCCGAATGTTTAGAGTAAATTATATTGAAAAGTGTTCGGGTATTAAAAAACAATTGACGTCCCTTTATAAAACCATTTTGCTCCTCGGATATAATATCAGGAAGCACATTCTCCAAACGGGATGCAACTACTTTAGCCAACACCTTTACATCAGCATTAAGCAGAGATAATGGTCTGTATGAACCACATGAGGTTGGATCCTTGTCCTTCTTGAGAAGGAGAGCAATAGTAGCTTGTGTCAGGGTTGGTGGCAATAACCCACTTTCCAAGGATTCATTGAATACTAATAAAAGCAGCGGTGCCAATTTACCAATAAAAGTTTTGAAAAATTCAATCGGAAACCCGTCGGGGCCTGGGGCTTTGTTAGATTGCATAGCCTTAATTGCATTTGATACTTCTTCAAGGGAGAGTGGGGAGTCCAAATGCCTGGCAGTATTAGTGTCAATGACAGGATTCGACAGATTCTGAAGAAATTCGTTCATTTCTGTGTTGTCTGTAGGAAATTCAGACTTATATAATGAGGAGTAAAATGATTTAAAAACAGCATTGATTTCCAGGGGATCTGTAGTAATAGTGTCACAACTGTTTTTAATACTAGGTATCAGACGGGAAGTGGCCTGTCGCCTTAATTGATGTGCCAGTAAACGACTTGCCTTGTCGCCATATTCATAATATGAGCCACGACTGCGCAGCAACAAGCGCTCTGCCTCTTTAGTGGAGATGAGATCAAATTCTGCTTGCAAATCAACACGCTGCTTAAGCAATTCCGGAGTAGGGTTTAATGCATGTCTTCGATCAAGATTACTAATCTCGGATGCAAGTACATCAAGCCTAGCATTAATCTTTTTATTAGAAAGAGCAGAATATGAAATAATTTGACCTCTCAGGTAACATTTAAGTGTCTCCCATAACAATGAATAAGAAGTGGAGTCATTACGATTGAAAGATAGGAACTCATCTATAGAGTTTGAAATGAGTTCACAAAATTCTTTGTCTGCCAGAAGAAGAGAATTAAATCTCCAAAGTGGTGGGCTGCGTTTATAGGTAGAGAACTGAATATCTAATAATAGAGGTGAGTGATCTGATATTACAATACCTAAATAGTCAGAAGACTTTACACATGAATCAAGCGTACTGTCAATGAAAAAGTAATCAATCCTAGAATATGATTTATGTACCTGAGAGAAGAAAGAAAATTTTTTAACTGAAGGATTGCGAGATCTCCATGGGTCAATAAGACCATTCTGTTTCATAAAATCAGAAAATGTTTTAGACATAGCAGATTGAGTCAGATTGCGAGGATTAGACCGATCCAAGATCGGGTCAAAAACACAATTTAGATCTCCTCCAAGGATCAGTAGGTGTGTATTCAAAAAGGGGATGTTACTCAGCAATCTATTAGCAAATTCAACATCATCAAAGTTCGGGGCATATACATTTACCAACAAAACCTTTCTTTGCATTAGTGTACCAGCAACCATGAGGTATCTGCCATTTCTGTCAGCGATAACGTCAGTGGATGAGAACTGAGCTTTTTTGTTAATTAAAATGGCGACTCCTCTAGCTTTCGAATTAAAGTTAGAGTGGAAGACTTGACCCACCCAAGGGCAATGTAATCTAAAGTGATCTTTAGTACGAAGGTGAGTCTCCTGTAAAAATACTAAATCGGAGTTTAAGCGTTTCAAATGTGCAAAAACCTTAGATCTCTTAACGGGATTACCCATACCTCTGATGTTCCAACTGACAAACCTGAGAGGTGTGCCTGGCCCAGCAATGCTGGGATCTATATTGCCATTAACCATTAAAAAAAACAACAACAAACATGCAAATGTTTGTAGACAGCCGAGGTGGGGCACCCTCCCCTAACAAACCCCCAAACAAAAATAAACCCAAAGTCCCCATATAACCACAGAACAAAGGAGACAGCAGTGTTTCCCACAGTGACCAAAAGTTGTCCACAGTAGCGTTGAACAACCCGGAGATAACGCGGAACAAACAAAAGTACGAGAGGAGAAGACCTCCCACCGATTTTGACATTATTTAACAGTGTGTGCGCAATAAAAACACGTTAAATTGAAAAATTTAAAAAGCTCACATATTGTCTCATCTAGAGATGAACGTTTCAACAGAACAAGGAAAGTGACCTCCTTAATAACACAAATCAAATTTGCACATAGATCAGATGGCTATAGACAAGCATGTGAAATACAGATCAACAAATAACAGCTGGCCTTCAGGCTGGTCCAGATAGTTGCAGAAAGCATAAAATGAGGTAGTGCTGATCTGATCTCAGGTACAAAATTAGCAAATATGGTATGGCCACGTAATATAAAAATATATTAACCTATTCAGTGCAAAAAAACAAAACAAAAAAAAAAGACCACCAAATCCTGCAGAGGTAGATAAATAAGGCTAGTTAGCACAAACTTCGAGGAATAAAAGAACACAGATCAGAAAAATTATCATAGCTCACTCAGAAATCAAGGATTTGACATATTCGCCGGCTTTCTCTGCTGAAACGAAGTCCTTCTCAACACCGTTATATGTGATGCGCAGACGAGCTGGATGAAACAAACCGTATCGGGCACCGTCAATGCCCCGGAGTTGGCGTCTGACCTCGTTGAATGCAGCCCGAGCCCGGGCTATCTTGGCGGTGTGATCAGGGAAGACTGAGATGGTCAAGTCTCCGACCTTAATCTGCCGGAGCTCTCTGGCGCGGCGCAAAATGTCCACACAGTCACCGTAATAGTGAAGTCTGCACACAATGGCTCGTGGACGATCACCGGGTTTGGGTTTGGGTTGGAGGGTCCGGTGGGACCGATCCACAAGCGGCTCCTTTGCCAAACCGAACGCCTCCCTCAGTAAAGCGGATACAGCCGTAGTGGTACAGGTGTCAGGACCCTCCGGTACTCCCACTATCCTGATATTGTTGCGCCGCGCTCTGGACTCCAGGTCTTCACACTTGTTTTCCAGCTTGGCCATGTCGGCTGTGAGGGACTTGATGGTAGTTTTCATCTCGGCGATGTCGTCGGAGCACACAGTGAGTGCATGCTCCATCTCTCCGACCGTACCTTTTAGCTTGGACATGGTAGCCTCGGTAGCAGCTTTATCACTCGCCAGCTGTGTCTTGACCGCTTGCAGGTCGAGCTTGATAGTGGACAAAGCGTCCCCAAGAGTTTCCTGCAGCTCCTTTTTAAAAATATCTGCGATATCTTTCCTCATCTCGGCCAGCAACTCGAGTTTGAGGGCAGTGGTGTCAAAGTTGGCGGTGGTGTCTGCAGGGGCCGGTGGCTCACCTGAGGCCGCGGTCGCGGCTTGTAGACCAGGCCGAAGTTGCGTCTGAATAGTGTTACGGGTTTTAGTGTTCTTTCCAGACATCGTGCACAGTCCAGAGTAGAAATTTCCAATAAAAAAGTATTGCAGAGCAAGCCAGGGCAAAATTTGTGAGTAAAAAGCGCAGGTGAATTAGACTTTAAATCAAAATCGGCAGGAGCCTCCAAACTCACGTCCTACTCCATAACAGCTCAGCAGCGCCCCCCCTTTACACAGATTCTTAATCCTTGAAGGCTGCATATGCAGATGCCTACGAAAAAATTTGAATTGTGTCTTTTTCCCATTTTCCTGAAAAAGTGGACATCTAGTCATCATGAGTGATTTATGAGTTCAAATTAAATGTTTTCATTACTTGGAGATGCAACCAGAAAGGCTCACAGAAATCCATTTCAGCTTGTTTGGTTGTACGATGCAGAGAACAGATGAACTCAAGTTCAAGGACTCCTCCACTATTAAAAGACCTCAAAGAATGGTTGGCTCTGTCAAATCATTGCGTGTCCTTCTTCACCGTGCTGTTCGGCTGTAACAGAGTTTGTGTCTCTGCACTCCACAAAAGAACAAAATCAATCTTCAAGTTCAACATTGACTGCACTCACTCCTAAACAGACACCCACTTTCCAATCACCACACATATGCCCACAGTCACGCACGCATTTTTTAGATCCACGGATCTTGTTCACGTGGAACGATTATTATTTTTTGCCTGGAAGCAGAGCAGATCCAGTTGATTTGTAGATGATAAAGTGGTGTAACCTGTCTCTCCCACTCTGTCATCACATCTTGCTTTTCTAAGCAAGGAAATACTGACATTTTCCTTTTCCCTGTCATAGACCTTCATGACCCCTCATTATTTTCTGTTCTGAATGACATGGGGTAAATGGGCATACTGCCGGCTGCCCACTCTGTTTGGTTTTTAAGATTCATTCTTTTTTTTGGTATTTATTCAGCTACAGTATTTATTACAGTATTTATTCACTGACGTTCAGATCTGTATCTGTCAGCTCTGTTGCTAGCTTTGTACTCCCCTCACACACATGCACACACACACACACACACACACATACAGTGGTCATAGTCTTCTCTCCAAAGCTACCTATCAGCAATGCCACCTCTAGCAGCATACACACACCACTGGCATACAACACACTCCGTCATGTGTGAAATGGGCTGTGGTTGATCCCTGCCCTGGGTGAAGAGAAACCAAAGTGTTTTAGCAAATAAGACGAGAGCACACCGCTGAAGAGGAGGAGGGGGGGAGGCCACATGTGATGAGAAATAAATGAATGGAAAGTCAAGGCTAGCAATAGACAGAATAACAGGGTATGAGTTGGAAAGTAAGAGGCTTTTGCAGCACTAAAAATGTGAGAAGAATTCAAGTAGGAGTAGACGAAGAGGGAGTGAGAGGAGCACAGTGTCTAAACAAGAGAGGAGTGTTTTGAAGAGGAAAGACTAGAAAATGACAGGCTGGTGAAAGAAAAGGTTTTAGAGATTTGTTTCTGGCCTTGATGGAAGAGAAAATAAGGCAGAGGAGACAGAAAAATAAGGAGGGAGGAGAGAATAAATGACAGATTAATACCTCTGAATCTCTGAGCATATGTCTTGCCTTATCTTTAGTTTAAATCCTTATTAAAGGAATATTTTTCACTAATTTTGTTGATCTCTTTTGGTTGTTCATAAAGCAGAATAAAAAAATACTCTCAAGCTTTAGGTCCCTCTGGTTGTCAGGTTATTGGAATTTTTAATGGATGAGATATTTGATTTTGTACAACGGGGCTCAGGTTACCATTTTAAGGCAAGACAATCCAGATTAGCAATGAGCAACAAAATATATAACTTGAAATGTCACATAATCTTTTATTTCTAACTGTGTGTATGCAGTTTTTTCTAACTTTACAGGCTCAAAACACCAATTCTGCCCATGGCTTTAAAGGAAAAAGGAAAATAAGATGTTATTTCACTGTGGTCTAATGTGAGCTCTTCTAAGTGTTACTTGAGGCTAAACAATGATGGTTTTCAACAAAATTAAAAAAAATTGGGCCCTTTTTTCGCAATATGCTATTACCTTTTTCATGTCAGGAGGATTTTTAGTACCTAAATGATGCTCTACATAGGAAGGAAGGGCAGAATTACACCACATTTTCTGAAACTAAAAAACAAAAAGATTTCCATTCCCTCCTCTATTGTTGCCCAGATATTAGGAGTTTGGTCAGATAGGTGTTAGTTCTATGTTAAGCAATGCTGGAAGATAAAGACACATAGATGTTGTGCAACAGGTGACTATACAGTAATTACTGTCTGTCATCTTTTGTTCTACCGAAGGTATTTGGGGTTTGCCAAAAGATTACAGAAGACTACAGATGTAGGGGGTTTGACCTGAATTGGAAAATTGACAAGAATGAAATTACGATGAGAAAATTAGGGATAAAATGATCTACAGAAGAGAGAGGGACAGAGAAGCTACAGGGCTGTTGAAGAAGACAAAAAGAAAAGTAAATGAATATGGAAAAAAAGTCAAGATTGGAGTGTATGTAAGAAAGACGATGGGGAGTTTTAGCACTGCATAATGTCCTACAAATAAGCTGTGCTATCCAGTTCAAGCAAAGCTGGAGGGCGTTATTTCGATTAAACAGACATTTATTGTGGACAACTTCTCTAACGTACCTTTACGGTGCGCCAAAATGCCGTCAGAACTAAGAAACCTAAAATGTCTCACAGAAAACATAGAAGATTTGCACAAATACAATGCACAAAAAAACAATAGAATTATGCCTCATTGGCCGCCTCAACTCCAGAGGATTAGGACGATTTTGTTACAGGTTCTTCTAACACAAAAAAGGACACCTTTTGTCTTCTGGGGGAAATGTCTAATGATCAGTCTCTCGCAGACATGTCAGGTACAACTCGATACAACCATTTCATTACGACTATACAACTGTATAGCTCTCTAACTGTACCAGTTGTCACGTCTGGGGGAATGTCTGGTGTCTCGTCATGTCTTGATTACATATTGTGTACACCTGGGGTTCCCCTCCCTCATGTGTTTAAATAGTCCTCGTTTCCCATGTCCTGTGCCAGTGCGTTTTCGTCTTTCTGTTTTCATCACCCCACGCCACGTCAGGTTTGATTTTGTCACAGCCATGCCATAGCCTTGTTTTCCTTATTGCCATAGCCATGTTTTTGCCACAGCCATGTTTTTGTCATAGCCATGTTTTGTCACAGTTTTGTTAATCTTGATTTGTTACTTTGCCATAGCCTTGTTTACTTTATTTGATACTTTGTGTTCATAGTCACGTTAAATCTTGATTTGATACTTTGTTCATAGTTTTGCCACAGCCTTGTTTTTTAACCTTGTCCTGTCATCCACTCTTTTGAGTGCGTTTTTTGTTAAAATAAACCTTTTTCACGAATCTCCGCGACTGAGTCCTCCTCCAAGATCCCTCCTGCTGACACCAGTCTCATTCCAACATGGTATGTGCAACAAAAGATAGGGTTCCCTTTACATTTGAATGTCTTTTTTACCCAGTAAATGAGCTGTAACCACATGAATTTAATACAAATGGCTACTTGTTCATAATCAGTGTTGGGGAGTAACGGATTACATGTAACGACGTTACGTAATTTAATTACAAAAAAAGAGTAACTGTAATTCGTTACAGTAACAATGAGAAAATATGTACTTCAGTTACAGTTACTTCCGAAAATATTAAGAATTACAAATTTAGTTACCTTTTTTAAAAGATATAAATAAAAACCTTTGTAAAATATGCAACTCACTGATAGACGAAGCGTATTGATTTACTAATATTTGACTGTTTAGTGTTGATGCATGACAAACGTTTATCGATGTCTATGACCTAGCCTAGCCTAGCCTACCTAGCCTACCCAACTCCTCTTTTTCCCGGACATGTCCTACATTTCAGACTAGGGTTGTCAAAAGTATCGATACTTAAAAAAGTATAGATACTAAAATGTTGTATCCGGATACGACTGACTTGTCTCCAATTTATTTATGTATTTATTTACGCTGTTTATGATCATTAACAAGACGTTAGCCTTGAACTGCTAGCTGCGGCCAATAGCTAATAATAACATGCTAAAATTAATCATGGGTCAATACTCATTAAAACCTTAAAGTAATCAAAAAGTAATCAAAAGTAATTAGTTACATTACTTTTTAAAAGTAATCGAAAAAGTTACACTACAATTACATTTTAAACAAGGTAACTTGTAACTGTAACGGATTACATTTTTAAAGTAACTTACCCAACACTGTTCATAATGAACGTGTCATTTCAAATACTAAAATATTAATAATCTCTCAAAGTGAATATTAAAAAAAGAATTCAACATATGAAAGCCCATATGAAATAGGCTACAAGGGCATGAGAAAAGTTAAGACTGGCATAGAGGAGGTTAGGAAATAGAGGAGAGGAAAGAGAGTGAGAACGGCAGCGATAGGCAGAGAGAGTGTGGCTCTGCAGCACTGCAGCAGCACCACAGACCCACAACTGTCGCCCCACAACTGCCCGTTTGTGCCGCCTGACCGGAGGACTGGGCGGCTGGATGCAGCAGTGTTCTAACAGCCGTGCCCTTCTCCCAGCCCCCCCCCCTCCGTCCGCCCCCCCCCCCCCCCCTCCCCTCCCCTCCCTTCCCCGGGTCTCTCAGCAATGCAGCAGCAAGTTTATTCTAGATTAGAGGGAACACTTACGATTTGGGTTTTATTTTTAGAAAATGTCTCTTAGTGCGTCTGTTGTTCACAGCACACGGTAAGAAACCACGCTTTGCTCCAGAAATCCTCAGTATTGCACAACAAAAGATAAATGATGATAGATAGACATAGTCATAGTCTGACCGGAGATATCTCTGAATTATCTTGTTTGCCTTAGAATGATATGTTCTACAAGAAAATCATAATATTTGTTTCCTCTCTTTTTTTTTGTGTTTATGTAACCTTGAGCCTCTGTTAATTCTTTCTCATCTTTTTTACATCTCATCTTGTACATTTCAAACTAGTCTTTTTTGTCAGAGACTAATGCAAACTTATC